GATTAATAAATAAAGCCTGGAAAAAATCCAATTTTTTTTTTTTGAATAGCAGTCTAGTGCCAACAACTCAGCAACACTTGTCCTCACTGCTGATGAGAGGTAGCAGGCATCAGACCATTGTTTTGCTGCACAGAGCAGAAGTCCTGATCTTCAGCCTGGCTGCGGGTGAGTGTAATTGAAATGGCACTAGCCCCCTATTAATACATCATAGAAAGCACCCAAATTGCAGTAAAACAAAGCAAGCCACACTTGGGCTTTAACAGTTGCATGAGGCCTACCCTGCTGCATATACATTGAATTATTTATGTCAGCCTTCCCTGCAGTTATCTAAAATGACACTTCAAAAATACATACCAGTTATCACATGTGTAAAAGCTTTAAAACCATGCATTGTTCAGAAACCTGGAGGGCCAGATGGCCCCTGTGATACACCCCATGAAGAGGGTCTGATAAAATAGCTGCATCATGAAAAAAGCACCAGGTAGATGAAGAGCCTGGAAGCGGATGTATGGTCCTGTTCCAAACATGAGCTTCATTAATAGGCAATTAAGTTGTATACACATCTCCTTAGGAGTAAGAATGTCATACTAGATGCCCAAAAACCAGGAATAGAGCATTAAAAGTTGTTGGTTTTTTTTTTTTTTAAGATCTAGAGAAAACCAATAGCTTCAGTAAAATTGTAAGCTGCCTCTGCAGATTCTAGATCCAGATAATAAATAAGTTCGTAAACTACATACAAAAAGCACTTCGTCAACAGTGCAAGATAAAAGATGGAAATACGAATTGCAATAACAAAAACTTGTTCCGGCACCACATCACTTCTTCTAGCGCCAATGCACCCAGCGTTGTATCCACACAAACATCCAGGGCCCCCCACACCCCCATAAAATGTCCCAATGGATCAGTCTCCATTATAAATTCTGAGTCTTCTCTGTACTCTTGGGGGGAGTTAAAATGCCTGCAACAGCCATTGGAGACTGTTCTTCCGGCAGCACTGCTTCAGCTTTTACCTCAACGTTTTCCTGCAAGAGAACACAGACAACATCATTGTACCATCTGGACTTCCACATCATAAAATAGCTTCCATTTGGTCATCAGAATCTTGTATCGTATGACAATCATGTGCCGAGCTATAGCACATGATTGTCATACATGTTTCAGATATTTTTTTTTTATTTATCTTGAGTACCTAGTAGCTCTTATTTACATTTATTCACTGGCGCTGATCACTTGTCTTTATAGGATCTTGTATTGCATCCATACTAGGCAAGCACAGCAGAAAGTTTTCTCAAGTGCTCACTGCACTACCAGTCCTCATAATGTCAATGTTAAATGCCTATGCTCAGCTCAAAGATGGCACTTGTACTTTATTCCAGGAGAGATATTCATCATCAGTGCAAGTAACAGGTTAAGGGATTAATAAGCAACCCTGGACAATAATTGCATAGGCGGCATCTACCACAATGAGCCATGCCAAATTTCAGACGTTTGCCATCTGTTATACTGCAGGGGACATGCTAAGTGGAGGCCAGAATACTGGGTGACATTAGGCTTTCAGGAACCTCTCACACATGTGCACTATGAAGTCTCCTCCGAGTAGCTCCCACAAGTGCAAAACCTAAAATGATCACAAAATCAAAATAGAGAACAGCAAGTAGAAATGTGAGCGAGCCTCATCAAAAAGTTACTTGCAGGTAGAGTGTGGCAGCCCCAGAGGCTGTGTGGCATTGGTCAGTGCGACCACATAACCACCCTGACAAATGAGACTTCTTTCCTCCAGGATGGTGAAGGTTGGGGAAAGTGTTGCGAGTTTTCACCATTTGTGAAAAGGTGAACTAACCCTATACAGCAATGTCACAGCCGCTGCTAAATTCTGAGGACAGGGTGTCCGGAAACATACCAGCATGTCAAGGTAGTTCATGTGAGTTTGGATGTTGTGTCGATCTTCTACAGAAACTTTCTTGAACGCCTTGAGTTTTACGGGTGGGTTCTTCTGTACCGCTCTCACAAAAGGGCTCATCCAGTGCACACATTGTGAAATGTCTTCCCAATTCAGACCTGCGATTAGAAAAAGCAATTTTAAGTTATGCAAATCAGACAAACTCCCAATAGCCCCCAAGAAGGGACTTGAATGTCACATTTCCGGAGATCCAATATCCCTCAGCTGACCTTTATGGTAGAGCGTTTCTAAGGCAAGTTAAATCCACAAGAAGCAGGAGACACTCATTACCTGGATCCCCCAACCTCTAGAACTCTGCACACGAGAGGCCTATACAAAGTGGACACTCAAGGAACTCATTAAATAGAGCAGCTGCCATTACCGAGGTGCATGCCCCAGGGCTGCCATCTTTCTACTTGAGTCACCTATCACAAACAGTCAGCCACTGCTTCATATTATATGAGGTATCAAGAATCCCAATTGCTGAAAGAAACACGCTACCATTGCTGACCATGCTAGTTGCCTGGCTATAATACTTTGAGATGTTGACCTGAAACAAGCAAGTTAAAACCTGATGACATAAAAATCAGCATTTTCAGAAGGATAGCAATAGCAGCCCTCATCCCTTCTCACGTTTCCTTTAAATCCCATAAGCCAAAAGGAAAACCTTTATAGCAAGCCACACACAGACGCATTTGTGGAGCTTCTCAGGAGCACAGACTGATTGTCAAATTTACCAGCATGTCTGCAAGAATGTCCATCATAAGGATGGATGAATAAGCAAGTGACAGGAGGAGGGACAGGAACCAAAGCCCTGGACTTCATGGGGAGAGCTGCAATATGTGGAAGCGCCTTATTAGGTAAGATATAGAATATTTATATATACACACTATTGGGAAGTCACAATACTCGTAACAGCCACTCAGAAAGGGGCCGTCACATTTTAACACATTTTTTAATACAGCCGTCTCAAAGCTGTATTCAGCATAAATACAGATATAGAACAAGCCAAAAAGCACAGTTTGCCTTAGTTACAAATTCCTCCATGTAAAATGCCGAGACATTCACACCGAGAACACTTACGCTCTGTGCCTGTCATAATGGACATTAAAAGAAAAAAGGGTGTGATGAGTAATGGTTAAAACTTGATATGAAAACAGCACCTCAGACAACTCTTACCTGTCGCCTTTGCTACTACTTCCATTGAAGTAAAGTGGTATAAAGCTGCAGCTGCCAGAATCCTATACTGGAAATCCAGAGAGGTAATATGGAGAATGCACAGATCTAAAAGCTGCAAAAGACAAGAAAATACAAATTATTTACAAGACAAAAAAAAATTAACAGAAAATAAATTTTATATATAATTTTATTTTTTTAATAGAATCCCTACAGTTGGGGCACTTTGCGAGGCTGGAGCTATCAGTAGGTTGAACATTGGCTCACCCCACAAAATACCTGCATGCAGCAGTGGGTACCCCATTAAGTAGCACACAAGTTCAATTTGCCACTAACAGCAGCAGTTTAACAGAGCTGATCCACCCAAAAAAAAAAAAATGAGATGTCAGGTATAGGTGAAGTCTAATTGCCAAGTCTGACCCAGTTTAATAAGCATGTTAATAGCAGGCATTCAGACTTAGCTGGTCGCATGCTCGTTGGGAAGAAAAAAATAATGGTAGTCCTGGAGCTTACAGCTTCAAAAAAAACCATACGCAAGAAGGAAACCAACAGGGATATTCACAAGGGGTGAAGTTTGGAGAAGTGAACAAGCTAGGACAACATGGCCGATTTGGAAAGATTCACCTATTCAGCTTACTTTCCAGTTCAGCTACGTTGTCCTAGATTGTTCACGTCTCCTGCCTTCTCACTCTGAATAACCTTGTAAGTGTTTTGGAAAGCTTGCCTAAGAAGAGATGTTAGCCATGCTAAAGCCATCACCCACATTTTTCTTTCCCCAATGCTCCCACATTTCCTCTTAAATAGGAAGATGCAAATCATTCACTGGGCTTACCTGTACTATTTGGATGAATTGTTCCTGTGAATACTGAGGTAGAAGAAGTTTAGGACAGTCTTGCAGAGACGAGACTTGAAGATAGAGATTTAACCAGCCAACTGCAGTCATGGGACTAAGTTCCCATTTAAGAGCCTAAAGGAGATGGCAGACAAAATAAATAGGACATCATTAATCATGAATACCGATATAAAATCCATGCCTACAGAACAGCTGAACTTCAGGAGAACCTACCTTCAGTATAATGAGTTCAATCTGAACAATATCCTCCTCGCTGCAAGCTCCATCCGTAACATAAGCAAATTCATGAAGTTTAGGAGGATAGATTTCCTAAGAAGAGAAAAACACCCATTACTCTCATTTCACAAACTACAATATGAAGCATTTCAAAAAACACAAACCTCTTCCCATCAACCTGATCACTCATTTTCCAGGACAGTTGCCTGGAAGTAACTCCGCCATCCTGGAATTACTGGGGGAAACCCGATATCCCCATAAATACAGTTATAAAGTGATATTTCTCATCTTCTGTTGGAAGAAACTTGCCCACTCACATACATGGGTAGCACAGATGTCTGTACCCATGTCACCCAATGAGAAAGGCTTTACAAAGAAAGGGTCTTGTAGAAGTGCCCATTCCACCTGACTGGACGTCATAAGTAGCTGTGCAAAGCACACAAGAAATCTGCATCGCTCCACATGTGGCAGATTACAGCCTTTGCTTATTTTTTTTCCTCCTACAATTACATTTGAACTTTGCATTGACTGCATACAAATACACAAGCATTCAAAGCTAAACTCCAGGAGTTATGCAACAATACCCTTGCAGGTGTAAGGGTTAAATGCTCAATAAGTCTAGGGGTAGAGCAATAAGCTGCAACACTTGCCTTTTTCTGGCAGGCATACAATGCAGGGCCGCAAACCACACTGAGGGTCAGCCAGAAAGAGTGCGGAGCAAGGAATTACAGCCTTAAAGAGTTTGAACTTGCTAACAGGTAGTCATTAGACTTGCTACTGCCGTTTTTACTAAAATGCTGGAGCTCAGATTTAACGCTTTCAAGACAAACGTAATTTCTGGTTGGTGCCACTTCTGCCGCAAGTAAAGATACCCATTCCCTTTGTATAAAACGCCACAGCTTGGAACGCACCGAGGAACTGCACTTACCTCTATCTTAGAAGCAATGAACAAGCATGTCACCCCGATCAGCTGGAGCATGCCTTTGTTGATAGACGTCTGTGTCAACATAAATCTGTCAAAGTAATCTTGAGCAAGGTAGAAAGTTTCTCTGTGCAGTGAATAAACTTCAGAAACCTGGTTAAAAAGAATAAAATATGAAATATTGGGGCATGCATGGTCAGCCACTTGATACCTTCAATGCACCATCCAGGTAAAACACAAAGCACACACAGGCATGGAGTCTTCACCCATGTAAAAGGAACCATCTCTTATTACACATCAATGCAGGTACAGCTTTGGAGGCGATTGAGGCCTAAATGAACACGGCTATAACAGCAAATAAAACAAAGCTCAAGGTTCACTGGGGTGGCAGGGAAACTAGAAAAACACCACACTTACCTCTATAAGCCAGTCCAATAAAATAGAGCGCATATCAGGCGTTAGTGCGCTGTGAGGTTGTAGAATCTGACTTGAGTGGATGTATTTGTTCTCCTTGCTCAGCAGCTTAAGCCATACATCTTTGGAGTTGCCCCAACTAAAAAAAAAAAAAATATATATATTATTCTACATTAAGCCAAAAACACAAAAGTGTACATTTTTTTATCTGTGATCTCTTTCAAATAGCAAGCGGCTTTGCAGTTGGGATAATGAATGGTTTCTAATTGGCTCACAGCCCAGATAAAGTTACACTATGCCACCCCACCCAATCCTCTTTCAGTGCCGGGGTATTGGGAGCTAAAGCCTGATAATTGCAGGGTTTAGCTGTGCGGTAATTGATCATGCATGAGGAGGAGACACCCACCTGAGGTCTGGTAATGGAGATGGATTTATGAAGAGATTCTGGAACCGGTATCGTGTGAACTTTGAGATGTCAGGAGTGACTGGAGAATCCTTTTGTGGCGTTTCAATAAGAACGCATGGGGTAACCACTCCAGCTGTTATCTGTGACCAGCAGCCCTGCAGAATGTAAAGCAAACATAGTATATCATCACTGCCAATGAAAAGTCTACCACGACTGATAAAAGGAATTAACAGGAAACTACACCCACAAAACACAGGGACTGCATGCAGTCTTCTGTACTCAGCTGCTGTATAGCACTACATCAAATACTGGCATTTTCTAGCCATTAGAAGTAATAGTATTAACACCAGTTCCGCCATACATAAGCCGGCCATACTCCTATAGATTATCTGCAGATTTTCTATTGGTCAGATGGAAAAAGTAGAACAGATTCCTCCATCTACGCTACACTGTGTGGATGGAGGAATCTCCCACTGGCTGCCAAAATACCTGAACAATCTGATTGGATGCAGGCATTTTCAGAGTCACCAGAGCTGACTAGCAAGATACTGAAGCTTGGCCCAGTGGGAGATTCCTCCAGTCACTCAGTTTAGCGTAGATGGAGGAATCTGTTCTACTTTTTCCATCTGACCATAGAAAATCTGCAGATAATCTATAGGTGTATGGCCAGCTTTACCCTGCTGCCGGAAGAGTACTAAACTTGCTCATACAATGGCTATGTTACTACAGATTCCCTCCCCCCTCCAATAGAAATAAACTGCCTTGAGAGCTCGCCAACACATTTCTGCATAAGGGGACAACAGTCACCAGCAGACCTCAGTATATCTCCATGATAGAGGTATATGTGTGGCCTGTTAGATGTCTGAGGATGTCCACACAGTAGATTTGCTGTGGCTACATGGAGATCCACTGACAACTGTCAAGTCAGCAGAGGACTGTTGAAGTTATCGGATCTACACTCCATAAACCGTTCTGTACATTTCCCAGCTGCCACATCTTATGGCCACCCCTTCAATTACCTGGATCTCATAGTTATGTCTTTTGGTGTCATGTGGATATTCTTGTGTTGACTTTGTTTCCTGAAAAAGAAAAAACAGCCATTTGATTAACCCCGGAGACTGCCTGAAGCCTAAATTTATTTAGTCTGACCATATGAAATTCATTTTTCATGCTGCAGTCCATGTCAATCACTCCCACTACAGAGCAGCCCTGAGGCAATCAGGAGCACTACTCATGTCACAGGCCAACATGGCACATCACTGGCATCCCATGAAAGAAAAAAAAAACACAAAGACATGCTCGCAAAACCAGATTGGTTTCACACAGGGGAATGCCTTGGAATTTGAGTGTGAACTCTTATCCCTGGTTTTACGGTGCCGTGTATTCTGTATCACAGTGTTGTGGCCACGGGGAGATAAACTTGGGTCCTAAAATAACCGCCGACCTTTCTGTGCAGTTCACCACTTCTCACCGCTCCCCCAGACTGATCGGTGTGCTCAGCACAAGCAGCTGGATTCTGTCAGCTATCCTGGTCCTCAGGCCACGCAGCAAAAATGTAAAGACTTCAAAGATACTTCTGATCTTAGCAATGAACCACGTGCACGGCCAGCCAGCAATGAGTAATGTGATAAGGTGAACGGTGCAGATAGTAGTGTTCAATGAAAAGTTCTATAAGTGCAGTAACGGATCACAACTTACACCAGTGATAGGATTGGTTGGTTGCTAGGAGGGTTATCTCACTAAAGTATTAAACGATTGAATTGGGATGGTGGGTAGGTTTCCAGTGACGCATGACATAAGGACTCATGCACACGGGGGCAGATACAGGCATAAAGTGTAAAATACGCCTGTATTTGTGGCACCCAGGAGCCCCCCCAGCTGCTGTGTTTTCCTGTCTGTAGGAATGTGTGGACAAAACTGATAGGCGTGCGCGTGTTAACGCCGCTACCGACAAATATTTTCTGCTCATACGTTCCTACAAACAAAAAAAATGCAGCAGCTGCCGGACACCACAAATGCAGGCGCTGGTCTTTATGAGCCCGAAAGCATCAGCTCATACCTCAGCTTTCCTCTTCCTTATAGCAACAGTGGAGGGACATTGGTTTTCAGTGTCAGCGTTTCCATTTCTTGCCTGTAGACGACCGCTGTAATAAAAACATATATACAATCAGGTTATTTTCCAACTCCAATCCAAGCATCAATCAGGAGACTCTTGGCTGTGTAGATCTGGTCTAGAGGACACCAGAAATTCTGACACAAAATCTTCCAATATGCTGCCTTAATGTGTTAGCATGTCAGTCAAAATGAATGACACTGCAATACAACATGTGCATGGTATGTTGTTATCCCTACGTAAAAGTGTAAAGCCAGCGTAAACGCTCAGATGGCATACCTGCTGACCATGCCAGTTAGTGTAAAACTCTACAACATGGCCCCAGAGGCTGAGTGGGATCATAATGCGCTCAATGGTATGTGGTCATCGTTCAGCACAGACATGTGATCTCTGAGAATCTCCTCGAAGTCCTCTTACATCTGAAACTGTCCCAGAAGAAATTATTATGGATCAGCGTGATCACGTGGCTATACTGACCCATGACCCGTCACCATTACCAGCATTGTGACGCTGAGTAGTTCTGCAGTGCGCGGCCCATTATACTGACTGGTGTGGGCAGATGGAATAGATCACATGAGCAGCCAAGTGCAGCAGGGACAGGGCTGGGGAGAGGGTTCAGAGTTGGTCCACCTCATATTTTAACCCTTTATATATACTCTGCATGGGCCACACACAAATCTTTACCTTCATCCTGCTCCTAAGTCCATCACTGTGCAGCCCTGTAACCCCCACACTGCCATTGCAAGAAAAGGCAACCGGCCCAGGTCCTATGCCTGTTATATACACGCTATGGTGCTGTTCATCCCTATAGATCAGTGCTTCTCAACCTGTTTACGCTCAGAACCCACATTTGTCCTTGGTCATTAAATCGCAACCCAAGTCGCACTACAATGGAAAGCACAGCATTGCAGTATCGCACGTTCCAAACTGTGGGTGGGAGGTGCGTTTGGGGTGCCATTCAAAGATCCACACAGTCTCCATACCTTATGAGAACTGGAGTTGATCCTCAGCCTGGGATCCAGTGTGGGCAGCTGTGCTGTGACAGAGCTCCATCCATGTGCGTTTGCGTGCCCTGTAGAGGTGCCAGGAACCAGAATGCGATATCACTCTGGTCCAGACACCTCTACAGGACATGTGAGGGAGCTGTAAGTATAGATGTAGCTCCCTCACGGCCATAGCCCCAGCCCATCCCACCTCAAGCTTACACTCGGCACCGGCCAGCATATTTTGAATGGCTGCTTGGCTCAGCTGATAGGGGGAGGCTGAGGAGCTTCTCACCTAGAAAGGGGGAGGCTGAGGAGCTTCTCACCTAGAAAAGTGAAAGGCACGCAGCGACCCACTGAACATGCGGTCACGACCCACCAGTTGAGAACTGAGGCTATAGATGGTCTGAACTGATGGTGGCCCCCACTATCCATAGGAATGAATAGAGCCGCCGCATGTGTACTAGAGACACAGGACCCGGTTGGGATGTTTCTCATGCAAAGGCAGTACAGGGCTTCATGGTGAACAGAGAGGGAACAGTGATGAGGGGTTGATGGTGAGGCCTACACTGATGGGGAATTCACAGAGGAAAACCTCACAAGCGATTGCATGCATTTGCATTTTTTGGGATGTCTTGGTAAAGCCACCCAGAAGAGAACTCAGCAGTGGGGGGGGATGAAGGTAACTTATTCTACATGGCAGAACTACATCAAAGTCGTACTTTGTCAGAGCCGACACATTGAGACTGTGCACGGCAACCAATCAGCTTCTCTTTCATTTTCAGATCCTAACTAAAGAAGCCGATTGGTTACTATGGGCAACTGCTCAAGATTCTGTCTGCCCCCTAGTTTTGAAAAATGTCCCTCATTGTGTCCTACAGGGACCCCATTGAATGGCTACAGCAATGTACAGGAGACAAGCCCCCTCCCCCTATATTCCCATAAAGATTCTGCTTACTGCCAAATCCTACAGAACCCAGCCATGTGCCAGACCCAAAACCAGGGCAGCCATGATCCCTGACCAAACGTGACTGATGACCAGGACATGACAGGTTCACTTCAAACCTGAAATGTGTTTAGCAAACATTGCAGAGAGGAATACAAAACAAGCAAAATAATATTCACCTTCTTCTGGACATTATTCACCAACAAGGAACTATCTGCAAACACAAGAGAAACATTGTTACCCATGAACACACATTACATGGAGTATATAGAATATACACACACTGGACATAGAATACACACACTATACATAGACACATCTGTGTTGTGATGTCGGCACACACAGGGTTAATGTGTATAATATATACATCAGCACTTCCTACAATATATTTCTCACAACCTGGCCACAGCAATATCTCCACCAGTGGCAAGAGCAGTGTATAAACTGCCTGAATGACCAATCTAGTATAATTGTGGATGTATATGG